GGCTTTCTAGAAGATTCTGAAGCCTGAAACACCGTGCTTGACACAAACGACCTAGGCACACGAATCGATTAGATATTTTGTTTCATCTTCGATTAGATGTTTTGTTTCATCTTCCTGCCTGCCCCCAATTCTCACAGCCTTAGTACTGCAAGGCAGTGTTTCTACAGAGAAGAGGTTATGCGGCTTCTGACGCCAGGGGAGATGAGAGGCATGTGGTCAGGGGGACATTCTCAGCCCTAACCGTCAAAGGGGAGAGAGACCTCCAGGTGACAAGCTTCACTAAGGCCTGAACACGCCACCAAGAGCCACATTTACCTGACTGTCCCAGGGCATAACACTCTCCCAGAGCACGAATACATTCTCGGGACAGGGTTCAGTGATCCCTGCAGGCGAGTTTCCACTGAACGCACTTCTTAAACAGGGTACATGAATGTCTAAAGGTGAAGGTGAAACAGGGAAAAAATATTATGTTTAAGACATCAGAGGAAAAACACTTCAAATAAATTTTCAGCAGTCCCATATTTGAACACAAACCATGATTATTTATTAGTACTCCCTACCCTTAGTCATGGTTTACCCAAATTTTATCCATATGGTTGATGTCATTATTTTTTATAATGACTCTAGATATTTTTGGCCCTATTTGACAGTCATATTAAATGATTGGTCTAAACCCACATAGCTAACGATACAGGTGTGTCTGGCTCCAAAGCCCTAATCCCAGCTCAACACAGTGTTGCATTTTAACGCTGTCACTTTATATTACTTAAACGTTGCTTTTTAAAATTCAGTTTTATTTATTTTGATGCCTGACTGTTTGGATTTTTGTTTGTTTGTTTTGGGGTTTTAGTTTCTACTTTGTTTTCAAGACAGGGTCTCACTGTGTAACCTTTGCTGTCCTGGAACTCACTCTGTAGACCATGCCGGCCTCGAACTCACAGAGATCCTCGTGCCTCTGCCGCCCGAGTGCTGGGATTAAAGTCACGTGTCACCATATCTGTCATATGCCTGCCTGTTTGTATGTGTACCATATGTGTTCCTGACGCCCGTGGAGACAGACGAGGGACAGTCCCCTGGGACTGAAGTTACAGGTGACTGAGCTGCCATGTGGGTGCTGGGAACTGAACTTGGATCTTCTGCAAGAGGAGCAAGCACTCTTAACCACTGAACCATTTTACCAGTCCCTGAAAGTAGACCTTGCCCCACCCTGCCATGCACTCAATGTTTTCTCCTTATCAGCAGCAAACCATTCTGTCACACCATTGCCATTGCTACTCATCTCTGTTCTTGGACAGTTAGGTTGTTTCAGGTTTATTATTATTATTATTATTACAATAAATAGTGCCACTATAAATAGTTTTGCTGTTGCTCCTGTAGCTTACTTTCTTCTTTAGCATTATTTCCTAGAGATAAATTCGCTGACATATCCCTAGGTGAAAGGTGAATGTGTCCCTCCTTATGCATTATCAACCCATCCTCTGAACAGACCATCCTGTGTCATCGCGTCTTGAAAGAGAGTACTATCTTCTCTCGCCAGCCCCTCGTGAGAGCCGTAAGGCAAGCCAGGGTGGAGTCGCTCTGCTGCATGGGAATGTCCTGGGGCTTTACAATGCTCCTGAAGATGATGTGTGGCACAAGTATGTTTGCTCCAGAATAAGATCTCACAGGGGATGGCGTGATCCCATTTCCCATGAGAGGATTCCTGGATTAAGTTTGCCTTCCAGAAGTCATAAGATCAACAGAAGTTACTCTTTTGTTGTTATATGTTTTTTTCAAGAAACTGACATTTTCTTCTCGAACCAGATAGCATCTCTCCACTCATAGATCAGAAAGAAAGTGTGGCATCTGTTAGAAATAAAGGCTAAACTTTAACGTGTGGTTTGCATTCCAAACTGGGTCCAGAGGGGTCCTGGGAAGTTAGGTTTTCCAGAGGGGACCTCCTGGCAGGGTTAGGTTTTCAGGATCTGTTAGGAAAGTATAAAAATGGAGGAAAGCAGATCCACAGCCAAGCACCAGGCAGAACTTCAGGAGTCTAGTCAAGAGAGGGAGGAGGGGTTACATAAGCAAGTGGGATCAAGGTCATGATGGGGAAACCCACAGAAATAGCTGATCTGAGGTCGAGGTCATGGGAGCTCATAGACTCTTGACCCACAGCTGAGGAACTTGCATGGGACCGAACCAGGCCCTCTGCATGTAGGTGACAGTTGTGTAGCTTGGTCTGTTTGAGGGGCCCCTGGCAGTGGGACCAGGATCTATCTCTGAGCTAGCTTGTTGGAACCCATTCCCTATGGTGGGATACCTTGCTCAGCTTTGATGGAGCGGGGAGGGGCTTGGTTCTGTCTCAACTTAATAAGGCCAGGTTTTGTTGACACCCCATGGAAGGCCTCACCCTTTCTGAGGAATGGAGGGAGAGTGGGTTGGCGGAGAGGTCATTAGTATGTAAAATGAATAAAACAAATTTTAAAAAACATTAAAGCATGGGGAAAGGCTCTTTCCAAATGTGTGGAAAGTTACTTGGAGATTGCATATTAATATCATACATGACATAAGTCCCACTTAAAGTTATGGAAAGGTTTAGATCTGAATCATACAGTACACATTAGGGCTCATGTGACAGATATTATTATTGCCACAATGGCAACCATGTCTATCATATAGTCTAATGACAGAGCAGTAGGCATTGTGGGAAAGCCTGGACCCTGAAGTAAGCAGAACCCACCTGGCCATCTCCACAGCTGACCCTGCCTCGGCTTCCAGGAAGTAAAAGTTGGACAGCTTCCCAACAAAGTTTGCTTTACAGGTGAAGTGGCGGTGTGTGCCAGGCATCCAGTAAGTCATTTAATTCACAAATGACCAGCCAAGTCCTCCCCTGTCCCAGAGCTTCTCAAACTTCAATATGAGTATCACCCTGGACTACGTCTCTACAGAGCAGATTTTCAGATTCCCTATCCAGAAATTCCAATTCTGGAGAATAAAAGGGTGACGCTACATATATAACTAAGTTCCAAAGTGCGTATGCTACTAGTTCATAGACCATACTTTGAGAAACACTGTCTTGTAATTTCAGAGAATTAAAACAAAGAAAAAGGGTTCCTACCACCAACAAGCTACAAAAACTTGATAGTATGCAAGAGGCCCAAATAGCGAGTGATTTTATTTTCATGACACTGCAGGTAAGTCCTTACCTAATGGAATTAGGATTGTCCTACGTAACATCCTTATCTCTTAGCCCTTGTAATGGATGACTGTGTCCTTGATCCATCATAGCAATCTGTCCCTTTCCTGGACTACAGTACATCTTTCCGATTCAGCATCTTTAATCTTTAAATATTGTACATTTGATTTGTGCCTCATTTCCCACAACTGGACTTTAAGTATCTTTTATTGTTTTATCCTCCACAAGCAACATGGAAATCCTTGGCAATGATAAGCATTTTCAACACACACTGCAATAAATAATGATATGGGGGGGCTGGAGAGATGACTCAGTGGTTAAGAGCACACACTGCTCCAGCAGAAGACCCTGGTTCAATCCCCAGCACCCATGTCAGGCAGCTCACAACTGTCTGTAACTCCAGTTCCAGGGGACCTGACACCCTCACATAAATGCACATAAAGTAAAATTAAATTTAAAAAACATAACAAATATAGATATACATTTTGAATTGTTGACCAATTGTCATTGGCAAACCCTTTGTCACAAAGTGGCTCAGACACATTCATGACTGGTTGAGGCCTAGGTTTTGGAAAAGGTAAGTGCTGTAGCCCCACAAGCTGCTTCCTCCTGGAGAGCAGGGAGAATTCTTACCTCCCAGGGATGTTGGGAGGATTAAATAAGAAAATATTCATAGAATGTATAGCAAAATGCCTAAAACTGTGGTTATGTTTAAGTGACCGTTGCCAGCTCTGCTAATACACCTGAAAGGACCACACAGAGTGGGCAGAGCTGTTTTCAACATCCTCTTTCTGATGCGAAGTCACTAACTGGCTATTTCTGAGCAAAACAGGATTCTGACCTGTGTGTGTGTGTGTGTGTGCGTGCATGACATGTGTGAAGGTTAGAGGACGATCTGCAGGAGTTGGCTCTCTCCTTCCACCATGTGAGTTCAGGAAATTGAACTCTGGTCATTGGACTTGGCACCAAGTGTCCTTATCCACTGAGCCATCTTGCTTATTCAGCTTGCTTCACTGAGTGCACTGACTCAAGCCATGAGACCAGCACAGGCACTGTTCATTGGACTCTTCACCTTGTTTTTTTAAAACAGGGTCTCTCACTGAACCTGGAGCTCACTGATCTGTCGAAGCTGTCCGGCAAGCAAATGGCAGGGATCCTCCCGACTCTGCCTCCTCAGCATGTGCTGTCAGATCTGGCTTTCTACACGGCTGCCCTCACGCTTGTGTGGCAAGCACACGAACTGTCTCCTTAGCCCCTTTTTCTTTTGTTTTGAGATCTAGAATTTTAAGCTCTAGGAAACTTGTTGTCCAGAAGTGTGTGTGGGTTCTCTATAGAGATGAGAGAGTCATTTTACCATCCCAGCTTTCACAGAGCAGTTCAAGCTTCATAGATCCTCTCTGGTCATGTGATTATCATGACTTTGTTCCATTACTGAGGAACATCCAGCTTTCAAAATAAAGGCTATGAATCCTACCTGAAGCAAGACACACAGACTTTCTGCCGTGTGCTGTGGATAGGAAACACTCCAGCCCTAGGAGGCTATTGTGAGAGTAATGAGTTTGCCTCCTTTGGGATATAGTCAGTTATAGTCAGTTAACTATGGGTGGGTCTGTGCCATGGAGAAAATTACATAATGTGCACGTGCCTGGGCACACACACACTCACACACACACACACATACACACACACTCACACACACACTCATACACACACATACACACACACACACACACACACAGAGCGCTTATGTACACATATAGGAACTTCAGCTAAAAGCAAGGAACTGAAACAATTCTCAGTGTCTAAAATTAAACTGGCTAGTGAGTAAACCGTGAGAGATTTATTTGATAGGTTGTAAAGGAATTGTTCTAAATGGTTACAGTGACCTAGAGAATACAACTAAGTAATAACATGGAATAATGTGAGAAATGCAATAACATGTAAAAAGGCTCTGGGCACATTTTAAGAAAACCAGACCAAAAAAAAAAAAAAAAAAAAGGTAAAATTTAGTTTAAACTCGGAGCTTTCGGCAATTGTGGACTGCTACAGAACCTTCCTAGTGCTCCCTTCCTCTTAAAAAACCAGTAAGAATTGTAGGCTTAGGCGGTGGCATTGTGACATCACTAACACTCCAGCCAATCTCTTCGATGGTTATTTGCATAGTTTACTCCTCCTAGTCCAAAAGAAGTTGATTTCTGTTCATGACAGCACTGAGTGGAAGTGTTAATCTACAACAAAAAAGGAAGAAGAAAACTACATTAACAAAGGAATATACGTAATGACATTAGAATCAAAATACAGTGATCAAAATTATAACTAGCCCCGAGAGTACATGCTTTCCACTCTACTCAGTATGCTAAATCTTAAAATAGCTCTCCAACGACTTGACAGTTCCTCATCCATTTCAAGCTAAAATGTTTTAAAATGGATTCCTAGGGAGGTGAAGGCAAGAGAATTAGAAGCTCAAGGTGTCCTTGGCTACAATAGTGAGCTAGAGGCCAGCCTCAACTACATGAGACTTGGCCAAGTGGGGGTGGGGGTGGGAACTGAAGATTTAAAACAGATTCCTAACTCCCAACAGAGTGAAAAATAACAATTTTCTGGGACACTCTACAAATCTCTCGCTGTTAAGGAAAAGACAAACCTCTTATTTCTCAGACCTGTTTTTATAAAAAGAAGAAAAATTTACCCACTCTAGACTTACCTGCCCATCTTTTCACTTTATCCTCCAAGCTGACCTGGGTGTTGACAAGGACACGGGATTCTGGAACACACACACACACACACACACACATATTCACCAGGTTAGCAAATATAATACTAGTGAGAGCTGATTGTGTTTACTATGCTAATTGAGATAGCTATTCAAAGAGCATGTTTAGTAGGTCAATCCTGCCAATCTCCTACATCCTAGGGGCATGGATCCATCACTTGCATCACTGACATCAATCATGTGTTCAGCACAGGCATTTCATAGGCACTGTCCCCTTAGCTGGTCACAAAAGCAATGTGGGCAGATATGTCACAACCCCTTGGTTCACACTTGAGAAGAACATGAGTTAAAGAGATTGATTGATTTGGTTCTGGTCCAGAACCAGAATTCTCACATACAATTTTTGACATAAGACCTCATTCTTTCCACCACATCATATTTATAGTATAATAACTAGATATGTCAAAACAGAAAATTCTACTCCTATATGCCAAACATAGACTCTTGCTTTGTGAGCCTGCAAATGTTCGTCATATCTTAAATATAAACATGTAGTTTGTACTTGTATTTTCTCAAAGTGACAATAGGATGATCGGTTCAATCTTTAAGCAGAATTTCAATCAGCCAAAGTACTTTCCAATGGTATATATCTCAAACACTTATTTGTTTACTCTGGCCAATGGAAATCTGCCACTGGCTTCAAGACAGCATTTGCCAGTCATCCAAGACCCTCCCAACGACATCGCTACCAAACTTCCTTCCAAGTAGCATAATCATTATGTAGTATGCCCCTTTGTGAAATTCAGAAATGGCTTGGGATGGTTTGAATTTTATGGAACCGCCTGGAAACTGGAAGACATCTGTGATAGAAGTCATGACCTTTAACCCTGTGCCAGGTGGTGTCTAAATACCTAATATATATTACCCAACACTCTAAAAGCCATTACCCCAATTTCCAAATAGCTAGGAAAGCTGGACAAGGTTTAGGGATGAAGGTGTAGTTTAGCGTGGTAGGTGTGAGTCTCTGGGTTTAATTCCCAATAGCACACCCCCAAAAGAAGAAAAACAAAATGGATTTTATGGAAAACACCAAAGACTTCCCATTGATGAGTTTCACACCTTGGACATCGTGTGTAAGTGTGTGATACTTTAATAATCAAACAATACGGATGCTTGTAGTCTCAACCCTGGAAAGGCCGAGCCAGGAGGATCACAAGTTAGAGGCTAGCCTGAACTGCCTCAAATAAACAAAATCAAACTTAAGGTGAACATCGATTTGGCAGGGGAATGAGGTATATACATCAAATTGTATGATGTTTTCTGTTCCCTGAGGGGTCTTTTAAGTGTTTGCTGTGTGTTTATTTATTTTTGTATGTATGTGTCTGCACGTATGGCTGTGCACTATGCGTATATCTAGCGCCAGGTAGGCTAGAAGATTGTGGGGGGAGAAAGTGTTGGATCCCCTGGGACTAGAGTTACAGACCATTGCTGGCTGCTATTTGAGTGCAGGAAATCAAACCCAGGTTCTCTGGAGAGAGCATCTGGAGTTCCTAACTGCTGAGATAGACATCTCCCCAAGCCTGTTCTTGAAGGATTCCCGAAGAACCCCTTCTGCTTTTCTTCAGCTGGGAGTCAGTTCATGAGCACAGGTCGGGGGCCCACTCTGTGCCCACGCTTGCTGCCAACCTTCTCTCTGCTGTGAGATGTGTATTTAAAACGGCGAAAGGGTTTATGGGCCTTCTGTAGCTCTCCTCCCTCAGGCAGAGAGCAGTGTGTTCCTCTGCTTTGTACCAAGGGAATCTGCCCCCATCCGCTGCCTAGTCCTACCCACGATCTGCTCTGACACTCTGCCATCCCTCCCCACTGAAAATTCGAAAGGCTTATAGCTTTGCATTCCCAAATTGTGCCTGATACTGTGTAGTGGATGGGGGGGGTGTTTTTGCATTTCCAGCCCATTCTAAATTCCAATGTTCTAAAAATGGAGCCGCTTAGTTTAGAAAGTGGCTCCCTGACAGTAGTAAATTCTTAACAACTTGATCTCTTTTAGGATGCACATCAAAATAAGGGATTGGAACAGGGAAAGATACTACTTAACAGAGTCAGGAAACTCACACACTTGAGGCTGCAATGGCCTAGTGAGTGTGAAAGAGATTGGTAAACTGTAAAATCCTTCAGAGAAAGCTCGGTGACTCACACAGAATCAGCCTTTCACAGCAGCCCAGGCCAGTGGTTCTCAGCTGTGAACATGCATCAGAATTACCCAGAGGGCTTGTGAGACATAGACCTCTGGGTCCATAACTTTAGGTTTGATAATGCCCAGGGATTTGTGTTTCTGCCTGGTCCCAAGTGATGCTAATACTGCGGGTCCCTGTTTAGGCCTTGAGAATTGCTGGCTGCTGAATAAGGGCAATCCATCACTGCCACAATAGGCATGCAGTTTGGAGGAAGAATAGTAATTATTAAATACTAGTAGACTACTACGCCTCTCCATTTCTTGGAAACCCCAACATCTACTGCTCTCATCTTCCATCAGCATAGGGCAAAATGTAGAATTCCTCTTTTCCTCTGCAGTATGTATCATTAATACCTGCCAGTAATGCCCATTCTTGTTTAGAACCTGCTCTCCAGGGAGCGGGGGACTCTCACGGGTTATTGACCACCTAGTTTCTGGACGTAAAGCCCAGGTTCTTACGAGATGGGCATTTAAAACAGAGAAAGGAACACACCCTCCTTTGCATTTGCAGCTGTTATTGTGGGCATAGGTTTGTGACTCAGACGAATCCTAGAAGGGACCAGCCTGCCCCTAACTGAAGAGATGGATATAACAATAGCGTGCAAAGTTGGGGGAGTAATGATAAACACCTTACTGTGCCCCAACATAGCGAGTAGGCGGGGTGATTGCAAAGGCCTAGCCTGAGAGAGGTGGCTCCAGAGCCGGCCCCCCGCAGAGCTCCAACGCAGCCTCGTGTCGCCCTCCAGACCCTCCTGGGGGACGCGCGGTGCAACCAAGCCTACAGCGGTGGCCGCGCGCCGCGGCGCAGCCCTCCGGCCTTCCCATTGGCGGGCGGCGCCATCTGCGCTCGCCTCGCCCTGGCGCCGGCGGGCGGAGGCCCGGGCGGGGTAGGCCGGGCTCGCGGCGGGCTGTGGCCGCAGCCTTTGCGCTGCTGCTGGCGAGGAGCGGGGCGCGAGGCGGGAGGAGGCAGGCCCATGCGGGGCGGCGGCGGGCGGCGGGGCCGGGTGCCCAGGGCGGCCCTACGGGACCCGCCCGGCCGGCTCCCGTGCGCCCTGCGGGCGGGGATGCGCCAAGTGGTCCAGCTTCCCGCCGCCCTGCGGGGCCCTGAGGCAGAAAGTTCGGGGGTCGGGAGCGGCCCTCCTCCCCGCCAGTGACTGCCCAAGGACTCCTGCAGCCCGGCTTCGCCCGCCACCTGCCTCCGCTCCCCAGGTCCGAATGAACTATCATCCCAAGGCTCCCCCTCTTCGCCCCTCCCTCATCCTCCTTTAGAAAGATATGTTCTTAAATTCAAGAACTCGTGATCTGCCTACTCCTCTCGTCCATACATTTCAACCCTAGGTCTTTTGAGTGCAAGAGGGGGTGAGGTCTCCCCCAAGACATCACGCAAGAAGGACAGATTCCCCTTGCCGACCCACTTACACCATGAAGAGGTGCAAATCGGACGAGCTGCAGCAACCGCAGGGCGAGGAGGATGGGGCTGGGATGGAAGACGCGGCTTGCCTTTTGCCGGGCGCGGACCTCCGGCCTGGGGAGGCCTCGGGTGCTAACTCCGCTGGCGGGCCAACTTCGGATGCTGGCGCTGCGGCGGCACCCAACCCGGGTCCCCGAAGCAAGCCTCCTGATTTAAAGGTGAGCACAGACCGTCCCCAGGCAAGCCCAACCCGCCACGTAGCTCTTCCCCACCCCACGCAGAAGTGTCTTTACCGAATAAAAGTGACGGGGACGCTCGCAGAGGTCAGAAAGGATGAACGATGCTCCGCTAGGACCGGAGGGGGAAGTTAGGTACCATTTGTGCCCGTCTATCAGCTCCATTTCAGGCCTCTGTGTTCTTCATTATTCAGCAAACGGTTTAATGACTCACTCATCCGAGATTGTTTGAGGAACGTGTGTGAAATGCTATTTGCAGACAAAGGGCTGGCGAGATCTAAGATGCTAACTTAAAAAGTTCACAGCAGTCTTCCTTCTGTGGGAAGGCTGGGGAAGAAGGCTGCAGCATCGGATGCTAAATAGGTTACCGCTACCTTCCTATGCCAATTAGCCCCCTCCCGGTGGGATTTTTGGGCTCCTTCCTGAAGGAAGCTCAGTTTGTCCATCTATGAAAGGGGGGTGTAGATGTCTTGCCGTTAGGTGGAGCCAGAGGTTAAGCTAGTGCTTGGAGATCCCTGTCTGCCTGCTGAACCAACCCCCAGGGCAGAGAACTGACAGGTGGCACAGCTTCGGCTGGTTGCGGCCTCGGTTCAAGTTGCACACATGCTGAGCCGGCAGCTAGAACCAGAATTGGAAAGGGCCGTTCACACGGAGCTGTTTATTTTCCAGCCTGAGGTCTTCTAGACAATTGGCGAGCTGTATTGAATATATCTCTGAGTCAATTACAGCAGCAGCCGGGATAAATAATGTGCCTTTGCTGGAGTTACCACCAGGACTGCCAGCTCAGGCTCCTCAGGCCAGTTCACAAGTGGGCCGAGAGAGATGTCAGCCCCAGGAAGGAACTTAGATGCCTTGGGGATTGATGCCTCGGGAATTTTCTCCGGAGAGGGTGCAGGGTCTGGGATAGGGGAGCAGAAGGGACTTCCGTTAGGTTAAAGCCCGTGTCCCTTTGGCTGTGGGCACTGAGGAGCTCACCACAGTAAGCCAATGACATTCCTGCTTTGGCCTGAGCAGCTCCAAGCCAGGAAGCCAGGTGAGTGCATGTGCTCTTTTGTGTGTGTGTGTGTGTGTGTGTGTGTGTGTGTGTGTGTGTGTGTGTGTGCTCATTCGTGTTCCTTGGGGGAAGACAGCCCCCTCACTCTTTGTGTGGACTTTTAAAAATTTGTGGAAGTTTTGCATATCTGACCTCTTGTTCACCAACCTTATTATGCCTGAGGATGGACTCTATTAGACACCTAGGCTCTCTTCGGAAAGCTTGCGATTTCATCAGACCCCGAGAGGTGTCACTTCCTCCCCCAAGCATGACAAGCACAAAGAAGTCCCTTTAATGCTGCCAAGAGGAACGGGGAGGGGACCCTTTGGCTTTACTCTGCTGGCTGTGGTATGGGGGCGCTACAGTATATCTGCCTGAAGGTTGTTGTTTGTGTTTATACCTTCTGTGCTTTTTTTTTTTTTTTTTTTTTTTTTTTTTTGTGACACTCATTTTGGTCAGGAGCAGATAGAGCAACAGCTCTGACTTGACTTCGACACATTAACTGCTGAGCTGTCCTGAAGGGAAATTGAGCGTTGAGGACCCCCACCTCCACACACACCCTGCCTTCACACAGCCCAGCAGTGTGGACCCAAGCGAGGAGTACACAGTGACCGCAGCTCATGCAAGCGCCCGGGAGGCAGGCAGAGCTCCTGCCTGTTTATCTCTGTCTGCTTCATCATAACATGTTTACCACAGGACAGACTTCTCTATCACGTGTGACTTGGGGGCCACCACAGTTTGGCAGGTCACTTACTTTTCTGAGGATAGGGACAAGGGATGTTGGAGTATGGCCAAACTTGTTTCCCATTGCTGGACAAGTTTCCCACAGCCGATAGCTTAGTGGAAAAATTTCATCATTGTCTCTAGAAGTGGATAGAAGTTGACGTGTTCTAAATCTGATGGTGTACCAAAAGGGACGTGTTTACTTTTTAATTTGTGATGCTGTTTGTTTGTCCCCTACCTGTGTTTGGATGATGCTGTTGAGCAGTTCCCGCTTGCTTTTGCTTTCATTTTGAACTTGGAGGTGGGGACTTCAGTCCCTTGGCCCCTCTTCTGTCCAGGCATTATGACTGATAGAGTGCAGTGAAGGAAATCATCTCGAGCAAGGAGCAAAAAGCGTGTAAGGATCTGTCTAAATCACCTCCGTGGTAGGAGAGGAAGAAGGAAATTCAGTCTTTGCTAGAAGCATCTGAATAATGCTTCACTGTTGATAGCCAGCACCGTCAGAGGCTTCTACTGTCCCTGGTCCTTTAAGAAGCATTATATTGTGTGTTGTACATCTCTCGGTTTATTTTGTGGGGAGGTGGGGGTGGACACCCTGAGATCATAACTAGGGTCTTGAGCATGCTATCCTAGGATCTGTGATTATGGAGTGAGTAGGGCTAATGGGGTGGGGGAGAAAAGAAAAATAGCTACATAGTAGCAATTTTAAAATGTAACTGTAACAGAAAAGCAATCTGCAAATGGGCCTGGCCCCACAGGAGGTTTGTGTAAACACTTCTGAGGCTTGCCACAGCTTCACATAAGCATGAACCCTCCAGGGAAGATCTCAGCAGACAGTATGTAAGGGGAACAGGACAGTTTAGAATGGATTCCTGTCTAACCACCCAAGCTTGCGTCTTCATTCGTGTGTTCTCATTATCCCATCCTTTGCTGTTGTTCGTGTCCCTGCTTGTTGAGGAGAGACGCTGGCGTGGCTAGCCACAGAGTCTGGGGCTGACCAAAAGTGGAGCAGAATTCTCCAGCATGGAGACTGGCTGTAGTGAGAAAGGCTGCTGGGAGGAGCTTAGAACTCTGCAGGCAGAGACCCCGGTCGGAATCCAGCATGTAGTGGGAGCCTAGGGTGAACGGTTGTGCTCAGCCCATCTCCCACAATTCCAACTCCACTGTTCAGTTCAGGGACACAGCCTTTCCTGAAAGGAAAAGCCTGGGGACACTGGCCAGGGAAAGTTCCCAGAGGAGCTCTCTCTCCTTATACAAGCCGGATTTCCCCTGGGATTTCTGAGCAGCATCATGGTCATTCCCTGAAGAAAAGTGGGGAATTCCACCATCTATTCGTTGTTCCCATCTGGTTGGAAGCACTCTTGACTCAAGAGTCCTTTGGGATGGTTCAGATCACGTTCTCCCTTCCTACTGAGTGAGGGAAAAGAGAAGACCACAGGCTGCCAAGGGAAATTCGCAGCCGACTCTTAGGTGGGTTTCCTGTAGGAGTGCTTGAAGGGCCTTCAGTGCTCTTTAAATGGCTAATGATCTTTCCTTGTTCATCTGTGCACCGGCAAGAGGGTATGTGTGTGCAGTCAACAGATACTGGACACTTACATAGGGAAAGATGTTACTATAAACCTATAAACAGTGAAATGGGACATGCACATAAAAGTGTCCCCAGAGAGACATGTATAAAGTTTAACAAAAGCAAAAATTGACAGCTCATCTATTCACTGCTGAAGTTCAAATACACACACACACACACACACACACACACACACACATCATTAGAATCCCCATGATTCTGTGTCCCTGCTCTTTTGTTTTATTTTAAATTGTTAAGAGTCAGAGGTTGGTTAAAATTTGTGCGATCAGTCTTTAAATGAAGAAGAAGACTAGCTACTTTTTGGGCTATGGTTTGAAGCCATGTGTGTATCCTGGGACTTTGGGTGATTCTGTGACTGTGGAGTGTGGCTATCTGGGACTCTGCTATGTCCTGGAGTCCTACTGTCTTTTAGAAATGTTGTTCTCAGCCTTGAAGACCCCTGCAATCTGTGGGGCATGGACCCTGAAGTAGATTTCATCAGGGGAGGGTAGGCTTGAACTGGAAACTTGCTTCTTCAGCAAAGGCGATGCCTTCATTTTCAGGGGAGCCTCCAGGTCCCCCAGGATGAAACAAACACTTGCAAGAAAATCCCCAGGGCCCCTAAGCTTTGGTGTGCTTGGAACACCACACAGTGGAATCTGAAATATGGCTTAAGCAAGAAGGATGCTTGAAGAGGAGCCGGCTTTAGATCAGAATACTGAAGAAAGGGCGGGAAGTGTTAACTAACAAATGAGAGAAGAATTTCCAGCTAAGATAATAAGATGACAAGAACCAAGGCCTCCATATCGCCTTTATCTGCTCCCGTTCCCTGGCAGTGTCAGGGACCAGGGAGCTCTGAGGAATGCCCAAGTTTTAACCCATCTATACCTTATGAGGACAGAGGGTCCTGAGGCCCAGGGCTGCCCCCCCCAGCCCCTCTCGCCTGCAGCAGTATTCAGAGCAGACCTATGTGTGGGCTCAGGAGGAGCTGGGGCCAGCAGAAAAAAGCGGCTCCCTGTTCTCCTGCCACACATTGGGTTCCAGCTCCACTCCCAGCTGCTCTAGTTGCAATGCAGTTTACAAAATGTGCTTCTGTCTGTGTGTGTACCCAACTGTGGCTTAGCTGCCAAGCACATTAAAAACGCCTTCCTCTACGAGGAGCTGAAACATTCAATCCGTCATGAATATGGAGGTGAGGTTAAGTGATACTACGGATAGGGAGGGGCTTGATGGGTTCTCAGGGTGCGGTGGGGTGGTCTTACTGCCAATCCAGAATCACCTGTGTTGACCTCTTCCATGAGACTTGGCATCTCTCTTGGAAAACCCCATCAATGAGGATGGTGCATCTTTGGACCGAGGCCCTGGCTAAACAAGGGCCCATAAAGAAGGGTCCATTTGTCTGCCAAATACAGGAGTCTCTCACCTGAACTAAGAAAGCTGCTGGGGCTGGGGGGGGCAGGTTTTGAATTTGACTTCTCAAACCAAACTACCAAAGGTTTCCTCATTCCAAGCAGGTTAGCCAAGTGATATCCACTGCGGAAAATGAAGCTGCTTTGCAAGGGCATGGCTCCCCAGCAAACCTTCCCTGAGCCACTTGTGGGGACAGTAAGTTCATTCTCCTGCCAAGCCAACACATTCTTGGCCAATGACTAAGATGAGAAATGGAGCCATAGCAGGGGTTCAAGCCATAGCAGGAGGGATCTGGCTTGGGCACAAGCAAAAACTGCTCAACCGAGCATTTTAAAGTTTTGGAAAAGATCAAGCCCTTGGAAAAGGTAGCTCTCTGAAGATTAAGTAACATTTTAGGATTGTTTTGTAGAATTGGGACAAATAAATAAATTGCAAGAGCCACGTTTGCGTTGAGGTCTCTGCCAGGTAACAGGTGAGGTAGCCGTTGTCTCCCTCCAGTGACAACTCTTGTCAAGAATTCTGCAAACTGGGTGGGGGGGGAGGTAAAAAGTTGGAAAGCCCTTGGAAGGGGCACTAGAGGTCAACTCGCAAGACAGCACATGATTAATTGTAAAATGAGTGGTGCAGGTAATGAGCCCTCATGGGTCCAGAACAGAGGGAGGCCATGGATACTGGCTTCGTGGAGTGGGTAGATGGTGAGGGATGGCTATGATGGAGAGAGGCAGAGGACACATCGCAGCGTGGCAACTTTAATAAAAATCTGCTGTGCGGTGGGCACATGAGACGCCAGTGGATGAGGGGACCTTTCTCAGCTGACCTTCCTTAGTTCTGGGTTAAAAAGGCACAAGAATTCCAATGGGGTTGGACTCAGACTCAACTGCTCCTGGGTTAAGTAAGCTCTGCCTCCCCAGCTGGTCCAGAATGAATCCAGAAACCTTCCATCACTGTGTTTCCAATAGAAACCCCAAGCATTCTGGAAACCAGCTGTTGCTGCCTCTCCATCACCCTGTGGTCAGTGGCAGGGAGCCTGGGGTGATAGACCTTCCCCTTCATCCCCTCTGCTGCCCACCTCTGCTGCTTCTCAGGGGGCAGTGGAGATCACAATCCCCTCCGTAAAATCCGCAGTTACTGTGGGTTTTCCCAGTGACTCGTTCTCTAGCGCTGGCCCTGTTTCCATAGAGACCCTATAAATAGAGGAAACGTTGGCGACCTAGGCTTATAAAGGCTCAGGGTGACCCAGGCGCCCCCTGAGTCCTCACAGCCTTATCTGTGATGGAGCAGAGAGAATTTCAGACCAGGTAGAGGAAGGCTATAAACAGTTGCTACCTGGGGATCGTTAGTTCCTGGTTAATGGTGCCTTCCCAAGACCCTTTCAGCAATTTCCAGGATTGAGGAGAACACTGGAACCTGTAGGTATTGGAAACCTGCTTTAGGTCATGTTTTTTTAGCCAAATGGTGCCAAGGCCACTGCACCCTGAAGCCTTTTCCTTTCGACTCCTTGAATCTGTCTTTGCAGAATCTGGAGCAAACTTCCCTTTATTGGGCCCACACCCAGGGAGGAGAACAGCTTTAGCCTGCTGTTGAGAAACCACGGGGTTGTCAGGAAAGAGCCCCCATCCTTCCTGAGAGCACTATGCCACCCAGGGAGACTCCAATCCTCCCTACTCTGGGAGACATTTCCAGGGAGGGGACAGTAGGGCTCGATCCCTGCCCTCCCCAGGTGTGGCGTCTCCTCCTGGGAGCTGCTGGTGGATAGAAAGGGGGTCCCATCCCTGACTCTCGGGCCTCACAGCTCTCTCTCCCTGACATGCGGCCCTGCCTGGCCATTCATCACGGTGGCTTCTGGCAGCTGGAGGATAGTCAATGTGGAAGAAGCAAATTGGCATTTAGAATCGGGAGCCTGTTAGTCAGAGCAGGTGGTGCTTTCTACTGCGTTGGTGGCTAAGTTCCCTCAAGCTCGTCGCCATGGTTTTCCTCACTCCTGAAACTTGGGGCTGGGTATGTATATGCACTGAACATTTTCCCCTCTCATCACGTTATGTCAAAACCCTTAACAGTCTTCCTGACTGCCACAGGTAGGAGCAGCTGGCCTGCGTGTCACCTGCTTGCTATTCTTGCTTTTTACCCCCCCAACCCCCATTGTCCCTTACCCTTTTTTTTTTTTTCTTTCCCCTCATATCGACTGTGGGCTTGAGCAGAGTCCCAGGTACTGCTGCTGGAAAGATCCTCGACTGCAGAACAGTTGGGGAGGGGAGAAATGAACACCCGAAGATCTGTGTTTAGAGGCTTGCCCGAGTCCTATGATGAGGCCTGAGCATCTGCTCAGCGTGGTGAGGATACAGAGCTCCATACAGTTCAGGGGCCCTCCCCCTAACCCTGAGAGTTTTGCCATAGGTATTGTCCCAGGAGACATACAACACCACAACTACTGTAGCCTCATATCAGGCGCGGGCCAGTAAATTAAACTATAAGTTCGAGGCTCATCTTTTTGGTTTGGATGAACTATCTAACTATTATATACCTCAGTTTTTTCATCTGCAAAATGGATGGTCTGTCAGTTTTTAGCTCCTGGAATAAGACTAGTGTCAGGTTAGACTGGCAGCATAAATTGGAAAGCACTTGGTGTAGTTTTTAAAAGTAAATTAGGTAAGGATTGTTGGGGGTCAAGATGATATGGCCAGCGGGTGGCTGAGATTCTCCAACCTGCCCCATAACCCATCGGTTCCTAAGGCTGTATACTCAGGACCTCAACAAGTCTTTTAGGGGAAACATTGTCTCCATAAGTGGGTAGAAAGAGGGGTTTCTGTGTAGGAGAAGCAAGTTAGGAATGGGGGTGTGGAGGGAGGGTCTAGAATGGAATGTCAAGTTCAGATGATGTAGTATATTTAACAAAAATAGTTGGGCAAAGACCAGGGCCAGGAGGCCCCATCCGGGTCCCTCGTGGGAAGACTTGTGTCGGCTTGGGTCTGGCCATAAGAGGAAGAGGGTGGGTAACTCATCTGTAGTCAGGAGGCCCAGGATCTGACTCACTCTGCGTTTACGGCACCTGTATACTATTATCCACTCTGCCTTGGACATTTTGGTTCTGACCCAGTATAGATTCAAGTGAGCTTGCGCTCTTGGTCCTGAAGAGAGGGCAAATCTAGGAGCACCTGGCATAGAAGACCTGTTTCTAGGGCTGCCCCAAATCTCAGTTCTGGAGAAGAATAATTTCCCTATCTGTGCATGCAAGTGTGTGGTTGTTGCTTTTGTGGGTGTCCGGGGGAAACGGTGAGGTTATGCAAGAGAGAACATACCTCCAAAGCTCCACGCTCAGCTCATGGTGAGATGTAAGGATGGACAAATATGGTCTGTGAAGTGGCAAGCATCAGGGGTCAACTGTAGGACTCCAGTGAGGATCCTTCCCTTTTGTGCAAAGGCAGGTCTTGTAGTGACATGGAGTGTCATGTTAGTGTCAGCTAACATAGACAGTGATGGTGAGCAGTACTGAGTGGTCTTGTAGTGACATGGAGTGTGGGCACAGTAACATAGACAGTGATGGTGAGCAGTACTGAGCCACCCAACAGCTGGATGCTTGTGCTTTCCCGGTTTCTTCGTGGTCTAACCTTTGCTCTAGGAAGAAAACTAGTACGTGTAGCTTTTTTGGACCATTTAAATTGTTTTCTAATGATGGAGGTTGCTTTGTGAAGTTATAGGATGCTGATACAGAGAAAACCCTGCTGTGGCTCCTGAGCCCCAGGTGACTTGTCTCTGTTTCCCTCTTAGAGGACTAAGCATAGTGTTTCCCTGGTCTTCTGAGTCCCACCCATCCGTCCCACCCATCCTCCCATATGTCTGGAGCTCTACAGAGGACATGGCCTGCACAGATAAGCCATCTCCTCGTGAGAAAGCTACCTGCCATTATGTGACAGTTGCCCTGGCAGCCCGCCCACCAGCCATTTATCCTGGGCTGTGCTGTGGGGGAACAGGTGGGGTCTCTCAGGGCAGTACTCCAGCAGGGTAGCACCCGGCCTCAGGGCTTCAGCTTGGGTCTAGTCTGAGGCGGGGATGAATCCCTTATCTGGACAGCTACTTCTGCTGTAGATACTCTAGGCTCAGAAAAGTAATGCTATTTCATCGTCAGCTATGCTAGAACTTAACTGGATGCAAACAACAGAAGACGGTTGCTGGAGTGGTGTAGACAGAGGTAGGTTTTGCAGACAGTTTTCTTGGGTGTCTTAGTCCTCCATCATCAACCGTCACCTTCGGGCTACAGCATGGCTACTGCATCTCCAGATACTATTTTCACGTTCCAGATGGGGGAAGGAGGGACCGGTGCCTTTATCAAGGAAGCAAAGGTGTTTCAGAAACCATAGCTACAAGCGAACGTGCTGAAGCAGGAAGTTCTAGCTAGCATCGTACACTGACACCTTGTAGTGTGGTTGGTGAGGAAGGGGGAGAAGTACTGGACACACAGTCAGCAGAGCCTGCTTCGATGCTGTAACCTGATTATACGGCCCTACTTTTTCCAAGGAATGTCACAAAGACCTCTTTGGGAACAGATGTTTGGTGGCCACAGTGCCCTGGCGCAGCTTGAAGGATGATCTAATAGGGAAGGAGGGAGGTGATGGGCCTGGGGAGACCAGTTGAGGATACACAGCCCCAGCAATGCCTTGGAAACTAGTATACTACTAAACCCCAGGTTCCCAGTCTGAGGACATCCTGTTTAGAAATCTGAACTTACTTTAGGAACGGAAGGGTACATGACTATATAGCCATGGCAGGCCACCCATAGGGATCCCAGCATTCAGATGTCTGTGCTAACTGCTCTGGTCTCCTAAGAATAGACCCACCACCCTCAACCCTAACTGACAAGGCATCCAGGAGCTCCCCACTGACCAGGGCTTTTTATCTCTCCCTCTTAAGAAAATCCAGCAGCTCTCAGAGGGGTCCATGTTTGGCCACGGCCTGAAGCACCTGTTTCACAGCCGACGCAGGTCACGGGAGAGGGAGCACCAGGCGGAGCACCAGGCATCTCAGGAGGCCCAGCAACAGCAGCCGCAGCAGGGCCTATCCGATCAGGACTCCCCAGATGAGAAGGAGCGCTCCCCGGAGATGCACCGCGTCTCCTATGCGGTGTCCCTGCACGACCTGCCTGCCCGGCCCACTGCTTTCAACCGGGTGTTACAGCAGATTCGTTCCAGGCCCTCCATCAAGCGGGGAGCCAGCCTGCACAGCAGTGGGGGGAGCAGTAGCCGCCGGGCCAAGAGCAGCTCCCTGGAGCCCCAGCGCGGCAGTCCTCACCTGCTTCGCAAGGTCCCCCAGGACAGCAGCCTGGCCGCCATCCTGCACCAGCACCAGGGCAGACCCCGCTCCTCCTCTACCACCGACACAGCCTTGCTCCTGGCTGATGGCAGCAATGCGTACCTCCTGGCTGAGGAGGCCGAGGGCATCGGGGACAAGGTAGGTCCCAGCAGGAGGAGGGCGGGGAGAGGACCTCTGAGGCCCTGCTGTTCATGCTTTTTTTTTTTTTTTTTTTTGCCTGGCACTGCTGACATCTACTACAACCCCATTACCTGTCCTCGCTGAGAAGTCAGGACAATCCAAACGCAAGGGGCTAATTTCTGTTTGTTTAGGGGATTGTTTTTCAAAAATGGTCGTTTGCTCAGATTGTTTGATAGTAATTTTGGTTAATTTTCCTTAAACATGCTTTGAGGACACGGGCACTGCTGATCCCTCATATTAGCAGAGTTAACTGGCTGCTTAATCTCTTTGGCCCTCCGTGTCACCAATTGAAAATGGGGGAAATGAGAGGAACGAGTTAGCATAGGTAACTTCCTGTACTGGAACCTGGCGCCCTAAGTAGCTTAACTGTGCTCATTACCAACCAGAGAAGAAGGGAGGAATCCGTGAAGTGTTACCTGGCACTGCCTGAATGTATCCAACTCATTTACTCATTTGTAAATGTATCCAACTCGTTTGTTTACTCGTTTAACAAATATTTAGTGAGTGGATGTTACAGGAGCGAGCAAAGCAGTCTCATGCTGCCCAGCGTCTAGAAACACTAGAGAAAGAGTAGAAACACTAGAGAAAGAGTAGAGAGGCTCTGATGAACACTTTGGGAGCTTGGGAAAAGAGTAGGCAGGGTGGCAAGGAGTTGGAGTCTTTCTGGAAGAAACTGTTGAACTAACTGGAAGGAAGGAGGGGAGGTTGGTATGCAGCAGAGCAAGGGAGCTGGTGGCTGGCACTTCCGCTCCTGGAGACTGGGGAGGCAGAGGCCAGAGTATAGAGGGTCAGGCTGAGTCCAGTGAGCTAGGCAGGAAAGTGGGCGCAGAGTGCATTGGGGCGGCAGCAGTAGATTAGGCAGGGGGAGAGAAAGGGAGCCAAGGAAACTGTCTTTGATGTTATTTCAGCAGCTGCAGCCAGGAGAACGTAAAGGAGAGGGATTCAGAAAGTACTGGAACTAGACCAGGAAGAGGCTATTGAAAAGAAGCAGAGAGAGGAACCTCTGGCTTAGCTCGGTGGTGCTCTCTCTGGTTGAATCAGCGGGGAAGAAGCAGGGTCCAGGAAAGGGGCTGTCCTGTCGTAGGTTCACTGGGAGCTGCCCACGTAGAGAGGACTCACTGGCTGGTGGGGGGGGGCACACAGCATTGAGGTTGAAGTCACTGGTGCACATGAGATAGACCCTCAAGAGGGCATCTGGAGTGAGCAGAAGGCTAAAGCCAGATCCCACCGGCATAGAAGGGACAGGCAGCCATCTCTGACCTGCTGCCTTTGGCACACAGGTTTCTTCCCTCGTCCTTGCCTCCTTTCTCTGCCTCAACAATGTCTCTCTGCAGATTTGCTCCCACACACACCTGGGTGCCCTTCCCAGGCTCCTGGGCTGTGACTCATTTTCCTTCTGGTGGTCTCTTTCCATCAGCAGAAGGAAAGTCAGAGCTGAAGGATTGATGGGAGGCAAGTTGAAAGGTCAAAGGTGGCAGAGGGTTTGGGATTAGAGGGCTAGCATGGCATCTGGGCTTGCAGGAAAGGAGGAGAGGAGAGCTGGTGAGGTGGAGAAAAGGCTGGGGGAGGGGAGGGAGTTAAAGACCCAGTGCACGGCAGAGCATATGCAGGAGGAAGAGATGGAGACGCCCTCGGGTTTAAGACTCGAGAACTTGGTTGAATGTAATTGTACATACCTATAACCCCAGAACTGTGGAGCTAAGGCAGGAGAGTCGTGAGTTCAAGATCAACCCAAGTGACATAGTGAGACTCTCAAAAAAATAAACAAACAAACAAACAAAACCCCAAGAACTAAGGATATAGCTTATAGCTGCTCAGTGACAGAGTTGGTTAGCATGTTCAAAGCCCTAGGTATGATCCTTCGAAGAAAAAAAAAAAAAAAAGGCCAGGCAGTAGTGGCACTCACCTTTAATCTCAACACTTGGGAAGCAGAGTCAGGCAGATCTTTGTGAATTTGAGGCCAGCCTGGTCTACAGAGCAAGTTCTAGGACAGCCAGGGCTACATAGAGAAGCCCTGTCTTGAAAAAAACAAAAGAAAGACAAGAAGAGGGAGAGAGATAGGGAGAGGAGGAAGAGGAGAAAGGAGACTTGGTATCTTGGGAAATGGGAGATAAGGCTCAGACAAGGGAGGAATGGAGAGAGATTTAATTTGATGAGTCAAGAACTGAGAGCTTAGGTAGAGGGAGCTAGGCACCTGGGCTTTGCTTGGGGAATGATGGCAGAGGTCAGAGAGATGAAGGCAGCCTGATGAATGGAGGGCAGAGGAAGGAAAATTGTTCCATCAGGGACCTCAAAGCTTCGGGCAGGCCTGCCCATGAAAGCTTGAGGACGTGGGTGGTCCTCCTCCTATGCGTAGGAGCTATGGGACAATGGGCTTCTTGGAAGAGGAGCTGGGGGGACAGCCTGCCGCTGGACAAGTCCCTGCCTATGGAGAATGGATGGCAGACGGTGGGCTCAGTGGAAAGGGGGGAGAGTAGGAGAAATTCTGGGTGACAGTGGGGTCCTGTTTGGGAGTAAGAGGGCCAGTCGCTTCTCTAGCATCAGGGTTCCAAGGACACTCTGCTGTTAAGCTGTTTCTACTATAGATTGTCACCAGCACAGATTCAACGTCCTACACAAGGTCCAGGGCTTTCTAACATTGGCTGTGACTTCCGTGCATCTTGGCTTTTTGAAGTATTTGGAAGTTAATGCCTTCAGCAGTGCTACCCACCAGGCACTGGCTCAGGTTGTATGCTTTTCCAGTGCAGATATCTTTTTGTAAATTCATTAGAATGGTCCACTGAGCTCGGCAAGGTAGATTATAAGAGCCCAAGTTTTGGTTTAAAATATATATATATATATATATATATATATATATATATATACACACACACACACACACACACACACACACACACACATATACATACATACATACATACATACATACATACATATCCAAAGACTTGTTAAGACCACAGAGCTCAGACCTACTGTAGCAGGACTGTGACAGATCCTGGGTTTGCGCCCCAAGCCCGGTGCTCTCCCCACCATGCCAGGCTGCCCGGCATGGGTAACTGGCACTGGTAACCAGTGATGAGGCTCAACCATCAACTCATCTGACCCAAGGATTTGCTTTGGCAGAATTATCTCACCCAGGAGTGACTTTGCAACAGTTCCTGACCATGAGCTGTTGAGCCATTTCGTATGTTGTACATGCGACACTCATTCGGTTTCCCACAGATGGTTCTGGAGCACCGGTCCATAGCAGAGCCTCAGCTGGCAGCCATAAGTCAGCAGGTACCCCTTCCCTTCCTGAGCACTTTTGCTTACCCCCCCCACCCCCTTTAATTGGCGTTTGTTGAGCATCTACTAAGTGTCAGGTACTATTCTAGACATCAAGGGACAAATCAGTGAATGAAAGAAAAGATCCTACAGCAACACATCACCCATCGTAGTGGGAGGCGGCAACCACCAAATGACTGTGGAGTGTGTTTGGTAGTAAGAGCGCTGAGAAGCAAAAGGGAAGTAGGGCATGAAGGCAGAGAATGTGGGTGGGCCTGCTGTTTTGACAGGCTGGTCAGAAAAGCCTCTCTGACAATGTGGACGGGTGGATGTGGAGCGGAGTAGAGATAGCAAAGTAGAGAACAGAGAGAATCAAATCAGGGAGGGGCTGGGCTGAGGACTTGGGAGGGGCAGGGAATACTGCAGACTGCATTGGGGCCAGTATGCCAGGAAAAGGACTTTAGATCCCCCCCCCCAGGTGTCAGTGAAGGATGGTAGAGAACAATACAAGATTACCCTGTGAGAACTGACAGGGTTGGCCAGGAGTCCCGTAGAGCGCTGATGCATACGCCGGAGGAGCTGATGGTTGGAGTGGGGTGCTTGTGGAGAGGATGTTGGCTGAACTCTCCGTTTGCTTCAGATGTTAGGGCCAAGGGTTTCTGATGGGTTGGATATGGGACATGACAGAACAGAAGTCAATGACGGCTCATGGTTTGGAGCCTGGATGCAGGACAAAAGACACTTCTGTGAGCTGAACAAAAACAGCAAGGAAGATGGCAAACTGAACAGCTATTCCTTTGGTGGTGGTGGTGGGGGGTGGGTAGGGCTAGGTTTTGGCTGTGTTAAGTCTGAGGAGGCTATTAAACACCCCATGCAGAAATGCCAAATAAGCAGTAGGATGTACAAGTCTGGAGTCCTGGGGAGAGATCCAACCTGGAGGCATAAATTTGGGAGGTGTCAGCATATAGATAGCATTTAAAGCGATGGGGCTGCATTTGCAAGCCTGGCTTCTGCTGCGAGAAGTGTGCAGTAAGAGGCAGCACTGGATGCACTTGGCTGAAAGGGTGTGGCCTCTCGGACCCGAGAGCTGGTGGGACCCGGCAGCTGCAACCAGATAGTTCAGGCCTTAATGAGAAAGCTGTGTATGTACGGCAACAGCCGGGCCCACCTCTCATGGGTGAGTCAGTGGGTATGTTTAAAATTGTATGCAGAGATATCCTGTCACATGAGGGGCTTGAGTTTGGATTGGGAGGGTGACCCTTGAGAACGACAGCTAATTGGGGTGTCTCTAGAGTTCTCTAGCTGCCTGGGAAGATGGGGAATAGGTGGACAGCAGGCACGTTCGGAAACCGGTGATGATTGCTGCTTGGGAGTGCAGAGAGGGACCTGGGGTACTTTGGGCAGATATGCCAGCTGGACAGCTTTCTGGGGGCTTTCCCACCCCATTATTGGACACTGTGGATGATGTGTGGGAAGAGGGAGCCCCTTCTTGATGTGTATGGAAGGCCAAACCCAGAATCTTGGGTGACCTCACTGGGGGATGGCTGGGGAGATGTTTGGTTGTTATTAGTTGCCATGTAGGTGCTGGGAATCGAACCAGTGTCTTCCGGAAGAGCAGTCGGTGTTCTTAACTGCCGAGCCATCTCTCCATACCCCCTCTTCCCTATTCTTTTTTTTTCCCCCCTAAGATTTAA